ACTTGATGATGTTAGGATGTTATCATCATTGCAAGGACGATTATTCAGTTTCAATTGCATTTGTGTTGATCTTCTTTTATGTGTGCTCTTTGCCTTAGTATGAGGTGACATAGTTTCAGTTGTATGGTGAGCCCTGTCAAGCCTTCCATTGTTGTGAGATGTATACGTTTTTATTGATTTAAGAATTTTAAATTGATTTAAATCAATATCGATATTGTAGTATTCATCTGTTAGAGATTGATCTGCATCATTATCATCTACGACAACACAGGCTTGAATGCTATGTATTTTGGACATACAACTATTCTCCACATTTATATTTCTGTAACGTTTTAACCAATTGCGCTTATGGGCGGCTAAGTCGATGAAAGGCATCTTTTGCTTAAAAGTCATATTGTTCCAGTTTTTCATAGCAAAATCGCGAAGGAGAGATTCTTGCTTCCACATTTCGCTATTTTTCAGAAATTGCTTCTTAGATAGGAGAGTAGCTATAGCCCTGGGTTCCATCAGTGTTATTTCGCCTTTAAGATATTTCATTGATGCCCTTTTATATTCATTAAGATAATTCACGAATGGATTTACGCTTATAAGGTCAACCTTATTTTTGCGTTTTATCTCATGCCATACGTTGCTAGAATTACAAGTAAAAACTTTCTTGTATCTTCTGGACTTCGAAACTCCACCACATAGTTTCTTTAGTCTTCTAAAAATGTTTTGAAAAATTTTGACAGCTAGTGTCATTATGCAAAATTGATTTAAATTTTTTATTTTTACACCAACATACAAAAATCGAAACACTCTTTATAAAAATAAAAAAATAATGATATTAAAAAATTTTTATTTTATGTTGTAATTTTTTAAAAGTCATAGATAGCGTGATAATTTGTTTTTGAATTGAAGTAAAATGAAGTGAATATAAATATTTATTCTGTTTGAATATAACGTTCAGATACTTGTCTTTTCCGTTTACATCTGCGAAAATAATCTATGGCACCTAGTTTAGTACTTTATCGTCTTATAATTCAATGTCTTTATAAAATATTTAAATAAATAAATAAATATTTAAAACATTTCCTATTCGTTATTGTAGCTCAAGTCTGAATTTTTAAATTAAAAGCATTTTGGTTATGTCTCTCTTATCCTGGCTGTTATATAATGGACCTAATTAATAACTTTGTGTTATAGAATTTGGCCCATAACACAAAGCGTTTGTTTTAAGTTTTCTTTAGTTGGTTCAATAAGGAATTAAGATTATTTTGTTTAACAAGACAAAAAACGAATCAAAATTCGTTAAACCCTAATATTTGTAAAGTAACTGTAACATACAAAGCGTCACTATTGACCAAAGATTGGAAAAAAATGTGTTTAAAACTCGGTCTTTCAATAACCAGTATTCGGACTATGGATCTTAAATTATTATACAATATAGTGTTATGACTTTATACAAACTTTGTGAACACAATTCCTTTGGCGCGAAAGCTGGGTTGAAATTTCATGACATATACCCACAGCTGTAATATGACATTATGCATAGTTTTTATCATGAAAACACTCAGCACTATTTATTATATATGGTAGGTAGGTAGAAGTAGCGACCTTGTTTCCAAAAAGTCCACTTGAGCTCAAATAATGGCACATTATGTTACCACAGGAATAGCAAGCCCACTCAAAGCCTTAACAATGAAAAAAGTCATTTAGGATAGACCCAGTCTCACAGCATAGCTTCTTATTTCGAAGTGGTCCGTACCTGACTAGTCTTTAGTCTAAATTAGACTGTCAACCTAGATATCTCACAATGGAGTTCATCAGCACAGAATTGTTTGGCTATTTGCCAGTTTAACTGTAGCAAGTGAGAAGCGAATGTCAGGAAGAAGAGCGCCTGCCTCGGCAGGCCTGCAAACTATATATACCTTCTGCTCAAAAAGTAAGTAAGGATTTTGTAAATAAAACACACAAATTTAAATTTTATTCCAAATTTATTTTATCTCCTACAAAATATACTCCTTCTGAAGCGATAAACATATGCCAACGCTTAACCCAATCTTCCATATACTTTTCGTAGCTCCGTGCACGTATGGCTTTTAGTTCCTTTGGCGAATTCTCTTTTACGGATACAATCGACTCAAAACGCTTACCACGGTGGTGCCGTGTTTGGTCAAAAAATCGGGTAAAACAAGAATTTTTCATAGTATAAATCGGTAAATGCATTCACATTAACAGCTGCTGTAAACAAACTAATTGACAGATGGCGCTCAAACTTGTACCATATGTCAAGAAAGGGTGTACCAAAATAACAAAAAATTTTTGAAAAAGGTCTATTACTTAAGGAGTAGTTAACAAACAAAAAAATCGGGGTACTTTTTGAGTAGTTGCTGTAATTTAAAGTAGATATGATATCAAAACAGTTATCTTTCATTTCAAATCTTAAAAGCCAGTGCACTTCAAATTTCCTGCTCGTGACCCATGATCCCAGTCGATGTCACTTTGCATGGGACTTCAAAAAAAAAATACATGATAAAAACTAATTATATTGTTTCTAGTTCCGCAAATATGGACTACTTGTTTCCAATCAATCGATAAATTTAATTATAGAGCAAACTTTGCCTTCTTTATGGTCGAGTAACTACAATATATAATTCATAATTTTTCTGCTAAAAAATTGATAGAGCTGCGAATGAGTCAGTTGAGATAAACAATCATTACACCTTTCGCAAATTTAGCAACACAAACAATCAGAAAAATTCATAAAAATTTTAAGTACATTTGGCTGACTAAAGATAAGCAAACTTTATCAACAACTCATGCAATATATTATATATAAATCGATATACGGGTATCACATTTTTCGCCCTCAGTGTCGCCCTAAAGTCTGCGCATCAAATGAGTGAAATATTCAAGGTAAAAAAGTCATGGTCGACGTGCAAATTTTCACATATTTCAACCTCAAACTGATTAGTTGCACTAAAAAAACTTTTTCGACTATGAAAAGGTGTTTTTTTAAACCAAATAAATTGAGATACATTCTACATACATAAGCAAATATATGTATATTTGTATATATGTATATTTTTAGTGCGAATATTCACAATTCAGTTGACAAATATTTGCAGCAAATAGTTTTCGCAGAATTTGTCTGAGATATTTTTTTTATTATACGCGTATATTTGATTAGTTATTTTACGATTTATTGACTTCACTTAGAATATGGAATTTACTAAAATATATTTGTAATTCACAGCAATTCTTTAATATTCACTTCTCTTAGCTGTTCATTATAAAACATTAATTTATTTAATTCCATTTTGTGTGTGGGTTCCATTAAATTTCACAGAAATCTGATTAAGTTTCATATTGTACTAGAATAATATTTTGATAACAAATAACATATAATAATTTCGATAAGATAATCACGTCATATTTGTACAATAATAAAGTGTGATTATCATAATTAGTTTGATGATTATAAATACACGTAAAGTAGTATATAATAGAATTTTTTTAATAACTAGAATGATGAACATTTGATTTGGAATATAGTATAATATAAAGAGGTTTCGAATAATAGTAAACTACAACAACAAAAATTATTTTAAAATTATTTTAATTAATTGAATTTTTGGCTAACCATACAACTGTTTAGAATATTGTATTCTTGTATTTAATTATTCGTTAATAGTTTTTTTGTGACTGCAAGTACCAGGGATTGAACTCATGCCCTACCAAATTTGAATCTCAGAGTCAGCATTCATTAGCCAACTGACCCAAAGCCATACTTGACTTGTATGTTCGCACTTTTTTTGGAGTTTTGTTAATTTGCTTAGAAAGTTTATTAATATAGTTCTGGAATCTCAGTGAATCTCAAGCACTCTGACCAAAGTTGATTTTATGGTAGAAACTGATCCTAACTGAGCAGAAGACATTGAGCCTTTCAAATAAATGGTAGAATATCCATTGTTGAGGTGTTTTTAAAATTAGATATGAAGTATAGAACTGCCGACCCAGTATTTTCATCAATCAATTTCAGTGAGTATTTTTATGTCAGACAGTTTGGCATTAATCCTGCCTTTAATATTAGGAATTCTGCCATTAGTCTTAGTGAGAATCCTAGCCTTAATATTTGTATTTTTATATTGCTTTATTGTCTTTAAATTTGTTCAATCATGTCGTAACATTTGAGCATTTTGATTATATCCAAATAACTTACAAAAAATAGGTTTTTAATCATTTAAAAATTATATATATAGAGTAGAATCAAAATCCTTACCTATTTATTCACACAATAGTAAACTTCTTCTAAAAAATTATTTTGCCCATTTTGAATGATTCCTTCTATTGTGTTGATTACTTTTTTATGCATTTAGTAACTATACGATATTTTCAACAGAAATCGGTCTTTCATTTTAGATCAGACTATTTTTTTTATTCATCTTGAGCAGTGTATCTTTAAGTGTTTTTAAAACACCCATGCTATATTAAATGTAATAAATATCATTCCAGTGCATTTCTAAAGATTTTGTTCTGAGATCTTCTTAACGTACTATATGCCCAACCCAACCTTCTTTTTTTGTGTGTATTTGCTTTTGTGTATTTGTAATTCCTCTGTAAACTATACGATTCACATCCTTATTCACACTTCATTGATGCAAGTTCTAAATATTTTGAAGTCTGGAGTACTTAAATTAAAGTCATATTGTTATTGTTTTTATGATCCTCTAAATCTTCAAAATAGAAATACCCAAATTTTAATTTTCATAATAAGTTTAAATTGTGATAAGTGTTTGATTTAGATAAAATACCTATATACCGATTTTTTTCATACGCTTTACTGTAAAAAATATTTGGTGATTACTATAAGTAACAAGATCTTATGATCGGTACAGACCTTCTAAGAAAGTCTTTTGCTGTAACGACCGCCAAAATTAATTTCATTTCTACATAAAATTTAACTACTAAGTGATTGATCACTATATTATTGGCGATATTTATTTGTATTCTTAAGCTATATATCTCGGTATCTTCTTCGTTTTATTTAAAAGAATATTTTTTAATTTTATAGTATAAATTCTAAATAAAAAACAAATTTATTGTAATTATATGTAACCCAATATATATTATACTTCTATGTCTTAATCATTTCTTGTTAAATTTTCCCATTGGTAACATTGCGTATAAAGATTTATATTTAGATCCAATTTTTTGTTTATAACTGGCATATCCGGGTCTGAGAGTTTTTCAAGCTCAGCAAGTTCAATTAAACGTCCAGCGAGTTCAGTAGCTCCGCCAACTTTTTGATGAAATTCAGCCTTTGGATAATTTGTCATCAAGTAGGCCAATGCACCAATAAAAGCATCAGTAAATGTATGCAATTCCATATTCAAAACTCCTACTATTGGAACATGTATACAACGCGCTGGTAGACCGTTTAAGGCATACACGCATCCAATTGGTCCTAATAATATTATAGCGGCTTTTGCGCCCTTTCCAATTATTTTATCTAAAGCCCCAATACAGTCTCTATACAAAATATGCAAAGAATATTTGACCAAAATACATAATATATCTAACCTTACCTAGGGGTAACAATATTCTCAATTTCAACCAATTGTGTAGCTTCCGTTCCATTTAAGCAAATGATGCTTGCCGATTTTAGCAGTTCTGTGGTATCAACCGTAACATGCGGGGATGCATTTAGTATTGATATACCTTTGAACTTGCGCAATGCATAAAGCGTTAAATCCGTTGGTACTTCCTGTTGGCATATTAATACCTATTACAAAGTTTTTAATAAATTGAAGTTTAATACTAATATTTTTTTTAATTATTTTTGGAATCTTACTTTGGCCTCACACAACAAAGTTTTTGCATTTTCTAAATCATTTTTACACAACAAATTTATAGCGCCATCAAAAAAAGTTTCGGTAACGCCGTTTTCAGTTATTGTTTTCTGATAAACTGCGGTGCTCTGAAAGAAACCCAAAGTATATTAGCCCAATATATATTATTGTAACTAAATTGCATTTATCGAAACTCACCGCATTGTCACACATTGTCACAAACTCGGTTTTAATATTGTTTGTTTGTAGACATTCCAAATATTCATTCCCATAATCGTCAGTTCCTAACTGCAGGATTGCATATATTTACTCATTGATTTAATTGAGATAATTAATTTTTACTTTATTATTTACCCTAGTTATGAGTGCGACTTTAGCTCCAAGTTTAGCCGCAGCAAGACTTTGACTAGCAGCTCTTCCACCAATATCCATTGTACATGAAGTTGCGGGCAAGTATTGACCTGTGGTCGGCCATTTTTTGGCTTGCCTTTATAATGGAAATTGTTTTCATTTTGAAATATATATTATTATTAATAACATTATTAATAATATATAATGAACTTATGTATTTACCAGACTATGCTAAATGCAGTAGCACCAAATACCAGAATGTCTACGTCTGTCATAATTAATTTTTGTTCTATAATTTGTAGAAATTGTCTAAATAAAATAAAATAAAAATTTAAAAAATAAATTTGAAATTATTTTCCAAGGAATCGAAACTAAAAATATAGTTTAAACTTTGCCAGATCTATAATAAAGAGTATTAGATATTATTTTTTTTTTCAATTTTTTATCTTATTCAATAAAGAAAAATTTCCTTAAATAATAATTACAGTATATATTCGTCATCCACATCAACATTACTGCTTTCTATTTGCTTGTCAGTCGGTTGAATCCACAGGTGAAGAAATTGGTGTTCTAAAACGAAATTTAGTTGTGCGACTGCGATCAGGTCGTCCATGCCGTCGTTAACATTATTTACGATACAAAATTTTTAGATGCTTTTGTAGAAGTGTATGACGAAAGAGGAAACAATTTCTAGCTTTTCCTCTTTAAGCACTAGACAAAATGATGCTGTACCTATACCAAATTTCTTTAACCGTATTAAAACCTGACCATAGAGGTTATGATTAATTGCTATGTAGCTCCTAAATTTTACCGCCGCAGTTTTACTATAAAACTTTATATCACGTTTTATATATTAACTGTCGTTTTGACCAAATCCATGTCCATAAAACATCTCATGTGATCAATTTTTAATTGCCTGTTATCATATGCTTTAACAAAAGCTTGATTTCTTTCCATTTAAACGATTTGTAAATTTTCGCAAAAAGAGTTAGAGATAAAGAGAGAAAAAGAGAGAGAGAGAGAGAGATAGATATATATATATATATATATATATATATATAGACAGAGAGAGAGAGAGAAAGAGTAACAGCGAAAAAGGGAAAGATTGTAAGAGAGAGAAAGAGTGAGAGAGAGAAAGAGTAGTCCGTACATAAGAGTAGTCTGTTGCAACTACTCTCTTATGTCGCACGCATGATAATAGCCATAAATAGCGGACGTTGAAAGCTTATATGTAAAATCGTAAAAGTTAAAACTGCTTCAGTGGTATCTGTAACGGTTAAACTGATAGGACTTAAACTGAAATCTTAATATTAAAGTCATAAATAGTTGCATTTTGTAATGTTATTCTACGCAAAGCATTAGTTTTTTTCAAATATTAGTTTATTATTCATATATAGCATTCTGATGGAGATATTAAATGAAAAGATAATGCTTTTTGCCTAACCCAATAATAAATAAATCGTACCAGAAACTACCGTTCCCGTATGGTTGAGCTCATACATAAAACCAAATTTAAACTGCTTTTCTGAGCAGTGTTCGGTCATGCTTATTTCAAGTATTCAAGAAAGTCGTATATGAAAAATATGACAACGCAAGCACAGCAAACTACAAAGAAATGAAGTAGAAACATCCCTCAGATGCAGTGGTTTTGCATTCCATTCCTTTCGTCTTTGTACTTTTATTTCCGTTACGTCACATTCTTGTTATCTGAACTCGACATGCTGGCATTCTGAACTTGTGGCTATGGCATTTATTTATAAATTAATTCAACAGTGGTGAAATATGAAATACGAGTTCACAACCCCAAAAATTCTTAGACATTCCTAGATAAGAATATAAATTTCCACCAAATAAAATATAGGTTAAATAGAGTGAAACAGAGTGCAA